GGGAGAAAGATGAGGCAGTCTTCTTCGGTTAGTATTTACAGCACTGGAAATTCTATGGGTTGTTGTTACTCATTACTCATTGTTGTTACTCTATTCCATAGGACTGCTATGAATCGTCAACTCAGTGACTTTAGATCTGCTTTTTTGTTTTATTTCTATGAGTACAGAATATAGCCAAGCACATGGGAAGTTTACCGTGACAGACATATGCTACATCGTAAAATAAGTATCAATGGATACTTTTAAAACTATGCCTTAAAGAATGTTTTCAGACTACAGCAAAAATAAAATATAAATAATATCTTTAAAAAAACTGAAATTAGGAATTAAACAACTGAATTCTAAAAAATAACACACGAGTCAAAGAAACCACAAGAGACCTTAGAAAACATTTAATACCAAAAGACAATGAAGATATAAAAGGATAAAATATATGAAATGTACCTAGAGCCACATACCGAGGGAAATTTATTGCTTTAAAAGCATTTACTAGAAAATAAGAAAGTCTTATAACCAATGAACAGTTTCCATCTTAATAAACTAGCAGAAAAACAGCAAATTAAGATTAAAGAAAGCAAAAGAAATAATAAAGAGCAAAAACCTATAAAATGAACAGTACCAAAAAATCCAAGTGGATTTTTTTCATTGATTTTTTTAAAATATCCACTATCTCTCTCCACTAATTAGACCCCCAATCAATGTCCACAGAAGAAGAAGCCAAGAAATCATACAGCATATTGGATATTGGCACATCTGGCAAATCTGCCAAAGACCTCTATAAAAGTGTTAAAAAGCACAAAGATGTCACTAATGTGTACCTAGCCCAAGCCACGGCATTTTCAATTGTCTCATACACATGCAAAAACTGGACAATGAATAGGAAAAACCAAAGAAGAATTGAAGCCTTTGAATTATGGTGTTGGCAAAGAATATTCAAAGTACCAGGGACTTCTAAAAGAGCAAATAAATCTGTGTTGGAAGAAGTACATTCAGAATGCTCCTTATAAGCAAATGTGGTGAGACTTCTCACATCCTTTGCACATGTCATCAGGAGGGATCAGACATGAAGACATCATGTGTGGTTAAGTAGAAGGTCAGAGAAACGAGGAAGACCCTCAAAGAGATGTATTGGCATTGCAGCTTCAACGATGGACTCACATACCAACAATTAGTCAGATGCTGTTTCAGCCGGTGTTTAATTCTGCTGTACATAAGGGCTCTATGAAATAGAACTGGCCATACGGCAATGAGTAACAACATCCTTATGTACTAGAAAGGATCACACAAGTTATTGCTGCATCACTGTGAGGTGAAGAGTATGCCAAATCTATGGTACCCATCACTTGGAGTTTAATAGAATCAATACAGACTAAGGCTTCTGTAAATCATTTGATATCCAAAGTAATAACCTGTGTTTCAATATAGTGTGCATGAGAAATTCAGTTAAATATATTTTCTTAAGCAACTATTGACCCTAACGTTACAAAGGAAGACACACACTTCATCAAAATGTCCGATACATTTTATAAACCATGTGATAACATTTGCAAAATTAATCCAAGTATAACCAAAAAAGAATCAAAATAGGATAGAAATATGGAGAGCGAGGTAAATGTAGTAAAATAAATTGTAGATTGTTAAGGTTTATGATTTTAAAAGAACAGTAATAATGGTCTCAAAATTTGTATTCATTGCTTATTGTCCAATAATAGAACCTCCAAAGGTTGGGCATTATTGACCAAATAAAGACTCTATTTCCCAGCCTCCTCTGCAGTTAGGTGTGACCATGTGATTAAAGTTCTAGACAATAGAATAAAAATGGAAGCAGTATGTTCTTCTGGGGAGAAAAAACAGGGAACATCCTTTTTTTCTTTCACATTCTTCCTTCCTGTGCACTAAAATATGGTTGTGAAGGCTGATACTTGGATAGCCAACTTCTAAAAACAGCAAAGTCCCAACCCTGACAGCTATGGAACTGCCACAACAACCTGTGCTGCCTACGTGCACATGAAAGGAAATAAATTTCACCTTATCTTCATTATTTTTTGTCACTTGCAGTAAAACTTTGTCCTAGTGATATTAACATAAAAATTACTTTTGAATGGTAGAACACTTTATATCATCATCAGTCTAAAAAGGCTGTTTAAGATATTAAAATCTTAACTAAAAAGCTTAAGCTAAAAATCATCAGGTGAATTATAGAAAATATGGTATACCTATAACATTGGACACTTATGGTTCAAACAGCAAAAATATACTAACCTGAGATGTCCTGGTATATTCCTCATACAGCCTGTCATACTCTTTACTCTTTTCCTGATACTGAGAGTGGTATTCTTGCAGTTTTTTACCTACTGCATCAATGTTATCTTCTTTAACCAACTGATCCTACACAGGCAAACAAGAAAAGTAGAGAATATTATTTTGACAGACTTTCCACATCTATTTATTTTAATGTTGCTTATAATTCTACTGTAGAGTTAGGCCACTGTAATAATATCAAGCATGTAAAATCCTTTTGTTAATACGAAAAATGGTCTTTAGAGCCATCAAAATAATTATCAACAAGAAATCTTATCAATGTGAATGAGGGGGAGTATGGAGTAGAGACTCAAAGCCCATCTGTAGATAATTGGGCATCCCCTTACAGAACAGTCGCAAGGAAGACACGAGTCAGTCAGGGTGCAATATAACACCGACGAAACATACAACTTTCCTCTAGTTCTTTACTGCTTCTCCCCTCCCCCCACTATCATGACCCCAATTCTATCTTACAAATCTGGCTAGACCAGAGGATGTACCTGGGTACAGATAAGAACTGGAAACACAGGGAATCCAGAACAGATAAATCCTTCAGGACTGATAATGAGAGTAGCAATCAGGAGGGGAAAGGGAAGGGGCAGAGGGAGAAAGGGGGAACCGATCACAATGATCGACATATAACCCCCTCCCTGGGGGACAAACAACAGAAAAGTGGGTGAAGGGAGGCATTGGTCAGTTTAAAACATGAAAAATAGTAATAATTATTTATCAATTATCAAGGGTTCATGGGGGAGGGAGGGGAAAAAATGAGGAGCTGATACCAAGGGCTCAAATAGAAAGCAAATGTTTTGAGAACGATGAAGGCAATAAATGTACAAAAGTGCTTGACACAATGGATGGATATATGGATTGAGATAAGAGTTGTATGAGTCCCCAATAAAAGTTTAAAATAATAATAATTATCACTTAAAATTAAAAATTAAGTGTAAATAGAAAACATAATCAGAAACACATCTTATACTTACATTTTTTGGTTGTTCTTGATATTATATACAGCAGAATATACACCAATTCAACAATTTCTACATGTACAATTCAGTCTTAACGATTATATTCTTTCAAGTTGTGTAACCATCCTCACTGTCCTTTTCTGAGTTGCTCATCCCACATCAACACAAACTCACTGTCCTCTAACTTTCCTATCTTTCAAATTGTCATCAGTTTCATTCTACATAGCTAGATCTTAAAAGTGCTTAATGCTCAAGGAGACATTCTTTTTTGCCCTCAGAGTTTCTGAAGCACAAGTCAAATGAAAAGTGAATGAATAAAGCAATAGCCGAAGGTTATTACACACTTCATCACAGTAAGTGTGTAAGTCCTGCCTAACGAGTTGTGTGGAGCCTCCTCAAGAGAAAGAGGCATTCTGGTCAAAGAAAGGGCCCAGGCCTGCTCACTGGAGTCCCTGTTTAACAATGTACAATTTATCCCAGACACTGAGTCTATTTTCCACAATGTGACAATATTCTCATTATTTCCATTCTTTGTTTTCTATTTCCATTCATCTAATTCCCTTGCCCTTTCAGCTTCTCATCTTGTCTTTTAGGGTAAATGTTGAGAGTTTGGTCCCGTATGGCTGATTAATTTATGGGATCACAGTATCGTTGTTCTAGTATTTGAATGAAAGGTGACTATTAGGAGTGGCTTAAGTTCCAGGTTCAAAGAGTATCAAGGGCAATAGTCTCAAGAGTTCCTTTAGCCTCTGTGAGTACATATATACTGTGAGCCTTTTTAGGGATTTGAGTTATGCTTTACATTTTTCTCTCTCTTTAAGTGAGCTCTTCTGTTGTGTCTAGTCAGACCAGTCAGTAATGGTAGCTGAGCACCATCTAGTTCTGGCCTTGGGCTAAAAGAGACTAAGATTCTCATGGACTAACTTCTAGACTAACTTCTTCCTTCACATCTTTGGTTTCTTTCCCTTTTGCTCAAGAGAGGAAGAGACGAATACTAATAGCTTAGGTGGCCACTCAAAGTCTTTTAAGACCTCAGATGCCGAGCTACACGGCTTTCTTTGCCTACAAATGGAAAAAAAAAGACCTCAGATGCTACTCAACAAACTACAATGTAGCGCATCATCTTTATGAACTATGCTATGTCAATTGCCTGAGTTGTCCCATGAAATTATGGTCCCAGGCCTCCAAATCTAGTAAAAAAACAAAAAAATTTCACAAATGCAGTATAATAAACAGAACTTTTATAAGCACTAGGAAACCAAAATATTTGTGTGACTTGCTTCATTGTGATATTCCAGTGGTGTGAAACTAAGCTTGCAATATCTCTAAGATATGCTGATACAGGGCAACAAAGAATACGGTGCGCAAATCTCAAGTCTCTGCTTTCAAGTCTAGTCTTTTAGATATACAAGGGGTATCCCCCAAAACAAGAGTCCCATCCCCCAAGCTATGTATTTAAATTTTTTTACAAAACAACCTTCACCTTCCAACTTTATCACCTTCAAAGTACTCTCCATTACACTTAATACATTTGTCAAATCTGCGATTCCATTCTTGGAAACATTTTTCAAACTCATCTGTTTGGATGACTGACAGCACCTCCCTCATTTTTTTCTTCACCTCTTCTATGTCATCAAATCCCTGTCCTTTCATGACCCTCTTCATTTGTGAAAACAAAAATACGTCACACAGAACACGGTCAGGTGAGTTAAGATACATGGGGCAAGAGAGGCAAGCTGGTTATTGCCCAAAACTGGAGCACTGAGATGACTGCATGAGCAGGTGCACTGTCTTGGTGGCAAAACCAGTCCCTCATGGGCCACAAATCAAGCCTTTTTTGTAACACGCTGTTACCCAATTTTTTCAGAACCTCTAAATAGAAAGCTTGATTGGCAGTCTGACCTGGTAGAACAAACTCCAAATGCACTACAAGTCGACATTTTGGTCTGTTTGGGAAGCTGACAGATGTCCAGGATGAGTTTTGTCATCAATCAACATTTCACCTTTTTTGAAATGGGAAAACCATTCGTATACTTGAGTTTTTCCTCTAGTGCTGTCCTTGAAAGTGTGTTCAACATCACAAGTTTCTGCAGTATTTTTCCCGAGCAGGAAACAAAACTGCACAGTTGCACGCTGCTTGTCCATCATAAAAAGCAAGGTTCGAGCAAAACTGCTTTTATGAAAAAATACACTGTGACCCGAGAGAGCCTTCCTGGGAGACATCACTGGGTGCACTAACTCAAGGGGAGTTGCTCAATGCTCACCTGGTGGGGGAAATGTGTACTACCAATGCTCCACTCAGCCTAGAGCAATTCTGGTTTTTGAGTAGTGTTGTTGAGTCATGTGGTAGTTCCAATTTTAGTTCTTTTGAGGAACTGCACAATGCTTTTCACAAATGCTGTACTATTTTGTATTCCCACCAGCAATGGATAAGGGTTCCAATTTCCTTCCATCTCACAATTATGTTATTTGGTTTTTTGTTTTGCTTTGTTTTTAATCTTAGCCAGTCTAATAAAGTAAAACAGAATCTCATTGTGCTTTGCTAGGTTGGGCTTTTTGATAGTGACATTATGCATCTTTTCATGATTTTGGTGGCCATTTCAATGTCCTTTTTGGTGAAATGTCTAATCTATTTATTTATTTGGTCATGTTATGATTTAGTTTTTGTCTTTTTGTTGTTAAATATTTTTATACAGTTTATAATAAATACATGCAATATACTATTAAAGGAAAGTTAGCTATACAAAATAAATTCCAACACTATTAATGTAAATACTTAGGGCAGAAAACGTAAATTAGACTACTTTTGTGTTGTCTTTTAAACAGGTAAGCCTGCTAAATTAGAATC